TTAAAGACCAATCTCTATTCTTTAATCAGTTATGAAAAGTATTAGAAAAAAAACTCACAATCTCCTTGCACAGTAAACAGTCTGGTTTTATGAGCATTGCTTTTCCCCTTTTTTTCTGGCAACAAAACAGGTGTTAAGATATTAAAACACCAAACTGAAACCTTTTACAAGGAATTCTATTCTTGCGCATGAGGGCAACATGTTCAGGAGCCACATGGCAATGTCCGAGGTCTGCTGGTCACGACGAGAGGGCTTCAGGAGAAACCTCGTGTCGGTTTACTATTCCTACCCCGTTGAAGGAGCACAGACGACAGTGGTTTACGATGTCGTGCGTCGCTTGGGTTGCATGGTCACAATCGCACTGTGGCTTGACTTTCATTTTCTATTGCGTCGTTTCACGTTGTACGATCTGTTCTGGATGACCACAGTCAAATACTGGAGAGTTTTCATTTTCCATTTGTGCATCAGGTATCCGCATCTGCCATGTTTGTGCGGATGCAGTTTTGGGTGGACCATGAGCTTCGTGGAATATCAAACCCAGTAATCTTCTGCGTTGGGTTTTTCACAAGGTGTTTGTCAGTTCTTTTGAACTTACACTGAGAATGTCGACTGTCTGCAGTGGCAATGTGCAACGATTAAAATAAAAAGGGATACAGTTTTTAAAATGTTGATTCTTACACGTGTAATGCAATACATGAATTGTCAGCTTAATAATAAATATTAATCGATTTAACCGATGTATCGCGCTTTAAAGTTTAATTTAAAATCAAAATATATTTCCTGAAGTAATGATGGTTTATTCAAACTGTGTGCAATATCAAGCAACTTCGGAATGATTTCTGAAGCACTGCTGCAATGTTTGGTGCATTGCGATACTAACGCGGCGATCCGAGTTGGATTCCTAGCCATGGCTAACGTCAGTGGTGACTGATATCTGAACCAGTCCTGAGCCTAATCCCCGCCCCTTCACCAAGCGTGGTGAAGTTTGGTGCAACAACCCCATGACCAAAGCAACGTGGCAAGACCTTCATCAGGCAGTGGACTGCCAGAGGGGTGTTACAACAATCTTCAGTTTGGCTCCCGATCACTTGCTTTGAGCATTGAATTATTAAGTTCCATTCCAATGGCATATTGGTGATGCTCACTGACCCTTTGATGTGAAAATTAAAGAACCCCAAGTGTCTGTCGCCAACTCCCAACAATTTTGAGGAGCGACCCGTGGCGGTCAGGCAGATCACGAGGTGACCAGAGGGGTGAGGAGGGGGGCACTTAGGAGGGGCTGCAAAACCTCGATTCGCGAGCACACAGCGCCGTCTCGTACAATACAGCGCACCGATGGGCACCGCCGCTGCCGCCACCGGGCTTGGCTTTCTGCGCCAGTTTCATAAAGGTTGGTCACGGGGTTGTGAAAAGGTTGCAGCAGGAACGCATGAGTGCTGCCCCACAACACAGTCCACAGCCAGCAGCTGCAGAGCAGACAGCAAACAACAGAGACCTGGAACCCTCTCTCTTCCACTAGGCGCCTCCGATCCGTGTCAGCGCGAAGGCCCCCACGGAACGGGTGGTTTTCCATTGGATATTTGCCGTGCGATATAAAATCAAACTGTAATACGCCGCCCTTACAAGACTTCTCAAAATGGTCTAGGGGCCAAACAGGGCAGATGTGATGCTAAAAATGAAGTGTCCATTGCGTACGACGTGAACAGCGTTAATGTGACTGCACGAAGTTATGGAAACATGGCCGAGTGGTAGTTCTCGGTTCAAGCCCAGCATCACCCTGGTTAATTTAGCCAGTTTATTCACCATAAACAAAGTGGTCTGTTTCACAATGTAGGATAATAATCCCATGACACTGTATTTAAAAAATTAATTGGCCACGTGTAACTACATCATGTTCCAGATTTGCCAAATCCGATAAAATACTTGCAAATTACTTTATCGGGGAAAAACCAGGTAGGAAAATCGAACATCGCTCCCTACTGGCAGACATGTCCATTCACAGGCCACTAGTGCACGCACCACGTGCCAAACAGGAACAGCTGCCATTGGGGAGGCTAGACTGCCGCAGGGCAATGGAATGTTGAGATGAGACGTTGCTGCAAGGCGCTTTGAGTTGCCGAGTTTATTTCAGCGAGCGCCCTATATCTACAAATCCTGATCCCCATCTCCGAGCCGCCCCGGTGGGCCCTGCAGTGGCCCGCGTCTCACCGCTGCGGGGTCGAAGCTGCCGCACTGGCGGATGAACTCCAGCAGCTCGTCGCGCTTGGGGCAGAAGCTTCCCGCCGTGGCTCCAGATCCGCCCAGGGCAGAGATCACAACCCCAGTCTCCTCCAACAGCTGCCACAGACACAACAAATCCGTCAACATCGGTTGGTTGACACCGAGGTGATCGCAAGGCAAACACCGGCTTAATGCTGAACGATACGCATGGAGCTGCTTCTCACAATGCAGTGCACGAAAACTAATAAAATATTAGAGATTTAAGTTTGCATATTAAAACAAAATTCATTCTCAATTTTTTTTTCCAAATGCGCTATCGGCGTCATGTCAAGAGACGAATAATCCATTCGTAAATCTCGCATAGCCGTGCAGCCCGTGTGTCATTAAAATGCTGTGGGTGGCCTTTTATCTTTTACACAATAGGAGCCAACGCTTTCACATGAGCTGTGCTATGAGATTGTGCGGCGCACGAGAGTCAAGCTGAAATTGTTATTCTCAGAGCTGGAAATAGGAAAATGAAGTGCAAAACAAGTTTAATAAGATTGATGTTTTGTGCAGTCACTGCTGACGGGGCTGGGACGATCAACTTGCTAGACTTGAAAACTCGGTTTAATCCCAAGCGGTCAAAATCCAGATTAAATCCCAGAACCTCATTATTGACAACGCATCGCTTTGATCTCTGAGCCACCCGGCCACTTTGCATATATAGTGTTATGAACATTTTTTCCTTAATGTCACTTTTGTACACTCACTTTTAAAGGTGTTTTTTTCTCTACTTTTGGGATGTTTACCAAATTCAGGTACATGTTTTAAGATTGACAAGCGAAAACCCATGAATCTTACGTGATAATTTGTTGTGCTCTGCATTGGCAGTGATTACATAAGCACAAATAACACTCAAACGTATTTGAGTTATCGACAACTGAGTTTTAAGTTCATAATAATAAACTAATATTATTGCGCACAATTTCGGAAGTGAACTTAAGTTTGCGCGCCACTCAGAGGCGGGAAGTACACTCAAACCTTGCACGGGCAGTGTCGCACACCTACTTGCTGTACTGTCTCTTACCAGCTGGAGGCGAGTGGGCTCACGCATGTCACGTACGCACCTGGAGGATGTCCAAGAAGGAGCCGAGGCCCAGGCTGGGGAGGTCGCACGAGTCAAAGTGCTCGGCAAGCTGCTTCTCCACGCGTGACAGCGCGGGCAGGCCCAGGAGCTCTGCCATCGTAACTTGCGTGGCTCAGCAGACGGACCAGCTGCTCGGCTACCGCCTCTGTGAAGGAGAGGAGCAATGCCATTGTAGAGAGGACAACGATGTTGTAACTCGCTCCAATAGGCTCGACAATTGCAACTCTCTCTCCGCCCCCCACCCCCACGTCTCATCTACGACTCCCCGATACGTTTCATCGCCAGATTCCAGAAGACTAAAAAAAACAAGTTTAACACGAAGGCCTTCGCGACCAATATTAGCCGCAATAGAGATTTTTGGATTAGGCCGAATAAATAGTGCATATTTACGCGTATTATTGAGTGCATATTTACATGATCTAACCCAAAAATCTTGATTATGGACTAAAAAAACGCTGGCAGACTTCTCACTCACACCCGTATGCAAAACGATATTGCCCTAATATTCCAATTGTTCAACTATCCCCCGAACCAGTCCAGAATAAATTTCAAGTTCACACTCAGCATTCTGAAGGTCCTCCGTGGTCTGACCCCTTACGTACAATACAAGAAACTACATTTTATTCAGATTGTGCTTTCGATATCGTGTCATGAGACGGAGTATCCACTCGGATCTCTCAGAGAGCAGCGGAACCCGTCGTACTGGAGAATGGCCCACATAAGAGAACACCACAAAGCTACCTCTGACATCGCTTCTAGTGACCTCTGGTCCACACAGTAAAGGAAGCACATTCCATCCCACTCTGAACATGAGAGTAATGTCCGTCGCATGAAAGTTGAGCCGATATTGGACTTGGTGAAATTAGGAGAAAAGTTTGATCACCAAGCATGTGCATCAATCGGTTGAACGTTAGTTTTTGCCATAGAGATCCGCAGAAAATAGATATTTTGGATCATCCGAGATTTTTAATCATCCGCAGCCATCCTCCCCGTCATTCTCGCGGATAATTGAGAGTCTACTGTAAATGCAAATTTGTCACCTTATTCTCCGGAGGACACGGCGGTCTGTTGTAGGGATTGCTGATGTTGCCGAGAAATGCGGCCGGTTTCTCCTTGACCACGAGGTCGCGAGGAGTCTCGAGCGAGCCACAGCACAGGGCCAATGAAACAGCTTCCGGGCCAGCGTGTCCCCTTTCACCTGCCCAGGAAGTCCTGCACACACTGTCGGTGGAGACAACAAAGGATCCAAACCACGTGCAGCCATTTCGCACTCTTGGGACAAATAGAGGGTGAAACATGCATAGATGTCCGACCGATTTCAATGCCCACTCTTACTTTTGTCTCAACGTGTGAATGAATTTTGTAAAAGCGATGACCCTAAATGTTATAGAGTGTTAATTCAGTGGTAGAGCAAGTCTTTTGATACTGGTGGAAGTATCCACAGACTTGAAACGTATGGTGATTATCACTCATTCAATAATTCCGAGGACAAATGTATTGTGGAAAATATAAGCAGATGCATTCATTTTCTCGCACGGTAATTTTGTTGCATTAAGTCCAGACGCCATAGCCCCCACCTTTTTCAGCTTATTCACAAAGATGTCCTCGGCGTTCTGGAAGACCTGCAGCACCATCTCGGCCGCTGGCTGTGTCATGAACTGTCGGCGAAGATCGGCGCTCGTCCCTGGCAAGGGGAACGACTCCAATAGGTTTTCTTGATCTTGTGTAGCCGGCCCTCCACCTCCTGCTTGATGTCGCACTCGATGCGAGCCAGATAACGGTCCAACGCCTCCCGCTCGCCTTCCTGGCCTTGCCGATCACCTAAACAAGCAAAGCAAAGTGAGCAACCGTGGTGGCCACAGGTGCAGCGCAATGCTGTAGTTGTGATGATGGAGCACGTGATGGACGAGTGGTTCAACGGCGAATGCACGGTGTGCTGGCAATGCACGATTGCCATCGAGAGATGGGGTTGGTGGATCATCCTAGCAGCAGCGGCTTGTGGCGAGCCATCTAACAAAGACAGTCACCGCATCACTCGCTTCTGAGGCCAACTGGAATGCTCTTCCTTCCGATATTAGGAAGCCACTTTTAAATATAGATTGAAAACTAATTTCTTTAGAACTGCTTTTTGTGTTCAGTGTGTTGTCCTTCTCCACACCTCTGATTAGCATTGGTTACGTACACTGCGAAAGAAGTTCACATACATAAATGTGGTTTTACCCAATCCAGTAATTTCAGAGATTTGGCAAATTTCGATGGTGACACCGGCAACACGTCCTCTTCATTTATGAATAATATCACTGGATTTTTTTTTTTTTACATTATTTGTGGAAATGCAGTTTTTATTAATACACCCGCAGTATTAACTAGGGCGACCCCTGTGCTTGAATCGCGAACCTCTGAAACAAGCGACAAATGCACAACCACTCGGGAAAGTAGATTTCTGGAAGAAGCAATACAACCCGTTGCAAACATGATAGTAATTTGAAATGTAGCACTGTACATCAGAACAATTTGAAAGGCGTTAGAGATTTGAAACTAAAAAAGAAAGGGGAAAATAAATCTATTTTTACATAATACAGGTTTTTTTTTGGGTAAGATCACGTAAATATATAAATGTCGTAAACCCACCACCACCCGACACAGCTAATTAGTAAGGTTTGTCACTTAAACAGAACATGCCAATTCGTTACCAGTACAGCACACCGGTTGTGTGTTAGAGCATAGCCACAACATTTACAATCTGAGTACGACGTTTCGCCAGTAATTGCAACCAGTCATCAGGAGGCAGCCAGATTTGTGGATTTTTTTATGTATATTTATTTAAATCTATATTTAAAAACAGAAAGAGAAACTGGAACATTATTTTGATTTAAAGCTTTCGTGACTGCAGGGATTCATATTCTTGGTTCTTTCGGTAAAGTCACGTAGAAGGGAAATAATAAAATAATAAAAATATAAAACAATAAAAATTCTCACGACGTTTCGACTGCAACACAAGCAATCATCATCAGGTGTGTGTTGCAGTCGAAACGTGAGAATTTTTATTGTTTTATATTTTTATTATTTATTATTTCCCTTCTACGTGACTTTAACGAAAGAACCAAGAATATGGAACATTATTATTACAGAATTTGGTGGGACATATGTCGAAAAGAGAATGACTCCAGCTTAGCTTGCAAGAACTAAGAGATACTGTGGCCAAGTGGCCTTAATGACAGAGACAGGCAGATCAAATGTTGACGTTTGAATGAAGGCAAATGGACGAGGAAGAACACGGACTGCATTTCACGCAGCCCCATCTCATTCACATCGCCGAGTGCGTCTCGAAACCTTACCACGCCTACAAATATTAACGGACATCGATTAAAGTGGTCCCATTAGATTTACAATTAGTCTGAATCTTTAGTACACATTTAATGCCTAGGAATACACAAACATGTAAGAGAATACAGTTCCTTTAAACAAATTCAAATATTTGATTTGAAGCTTTCGTGACTGCAGGATTACTCTTTGGTTCTTTCGGTAAAGTCACGTAGAAAAAAATAAATTAAATAATAGAATACGACGTTTCGATTGCCGTGCACGCGGCCGAGGGCCCAACCCGCGCTGAGCGGTGACGCGCCGCGTTCAGTGCCGCGTCACGGATTGGCGCCTCCTCGCGTGCACAGAGCGAGGCGGGCACAGGGGGGCGGGGCGGCGTTGCCTAGGCGACGTCGTCAACAACAACCGCCATTGGCTACAAAGTGGAGGTGACGTCACCACGACGCTTGTGCGAGGCGAGGTGCACGTTGAGGCTGCCACGTGTTGAGTGTCGAAGGCCCGCTGGCACGAGGTCACGGGGCAGACCCAGCAGGTGCCACGGGTCGACTGACTGAGATGACCGAGATGAGTGGCTGATGCACCACCTGTGCCCTCTACTGTGCCATCTTGCTGTGCTTTAGCCACCCGGCGCTTCGATGATTTGCTTGTGTGGCGATCGAAACGTCGTGAACCATTATTCTTTTTTCTCCTACGGGACTTTACCGAAACAACCAAAGAGTATGGATTCCTGCAGTCACGAAAGCTTCAAATCAAGATTAATGAGCGTTTACATGTGAGAGGAAATCGGAGCACCTGGAGAAATCCAAGCAAATGGGGGCCAACGCTCTATCACAAAAGAGATGGAACAGGCGGAGTCCACATTTTTCGATACCGCCTTCTCTACCTCCTTGACGACCAACGGGGTGGGAGTTTTTCGCAACATTTTTTAATCCACCAACCCTCACCTCCACGCAGTCGTGGATTACAGGCATACATAGCCACAACCACCCGGCTAAAGTAGCTGTAATGCACATCTACAATTCTACACAAGTTTATGGGGCAAAGGTCATGGGTCAATTGGTTTGATTTCTATGCAAATAAACCAGTCTCCAACGTATGCACATTTAGATTCGCATTCGGCCGCCAATGGAACAGGTAGAGTGCAAAAGCAAAGTGGATGCACTGATTGTATCTTCATTGCGGGATTCATCCAGCAGTGGAGTGACACGGGCTTCAAGTATCCACGTGGAGACGGACAATAAACACTGGGATCACCTAGCGATAAATGTTTGCCGGTGCACATTGGGACCGGCTCACACGTAGATGGCCACAGGCAGTCTCCAGCCACTGGCGTGCAATGCAGCGAAGGGAATGGATGAGTGGGTGAGTGGATGAGTGGGTGAGTGGATGCGTGGGTGATTGAATGGGTGAATGGGTGACTGGATGAGTGGGAACAGTGTTGTTGATCTCCCATTTTTGCCAGTGCATCCAAGTCTGGAGTTATTTTGGTTGTGGCAATTCTCAGGATAGATCTGAGGTGCTGATCTGTTAACTTTGATCTGTGACGGGCTTTGTTGGCGTTCATGACGCTGAATGTCTGCTCGCACACGTAAGTCGAGCCAAACAAGTCAGTATCTTCTGTGCAGTCCTCCGGAGGTTTGGAAACGTGGCTCTGTTAAGTGAAGCATAAAAGTCATTCAGTTTAACAGAGTTGAACTTTTACACTATGAGATCTCTTTTACCAGTGTCAAAATATAGTAGTAGGTTTTTACCCTTTTAAACTGGTACAAAACTGACACCTTTATTCAAGGCATCATGTTTGCAATGACCACAACACAAGTAGTCAAAAAGCAAACAAGGTGTCAGTTTTGTACCAGTTTAAAAGGGTAAAAACCTACTACTATATTTGCCACTGGTAAAAGAGATATCATAGTGTAAATGCTTACCCCGAGCTCTTAATACTCTGATATTGCACTGTGTTTGAGTTGTACGCCTTCTGGTGTCATCTGGTCCAACACCAATGGGACTAGGCTCTAAAGAAAGCCGTCTCGGGTGTGAACAATCAACTTCAAGGACAGTGCATATTATGATCATTATCAGAGTTGCTTCTTTTTGTTAGCTTTTTTGACTACTTGTGTTGTGGTCATTGCAAACATGATGCCTTGAATAAAGGTGTCAGTTTTGTACCAGTTTAAAAGGGTAAAAACCTACTACTAGAGTTGAAGTTCTCCTTTAGGACGGACTCAGACTGAAGATCTATCAGTTCCAACTGTAGCTCCTGTGGTGCTGTTTCAGGGTCTTGTGACAGGGGGCAGGACACCAGCTGAAGTGACTGTTCAATGTTTTCGAAATCAGAGAACCTATGGCAGAATCCTCCGTGCAGGTCCTCAAGTGATTTGCTGTATTTTTTGCGTTTCGCGGTGCCTCTTCCTGCATGGCAAGTGTGGGGAAATGAGCGAAAGATTTGTTCGCAATTTGTCCGGAGAACAAAGTGAGCTTGGATTTGAAGGCTTTCACATGTTTGCACATGTCGTGAACAAACTGATCTTTCCCCTGCAGTTTCACATTCAGCTCATTCATGTGTGAAAATATGTCCACAGCAAACGCAAAGTCACTAAGCCAGTTCTTGTCGCTTAGCTCAGGGAATTCGTCAGATTTCCCCATCAACTCCAAAAATGCGATGATATCTTCTTTCAGCTCCCACACTCGTTGTAACACTTTCCCCAAACTTAACCAGCGGACACGAGAGTGGTACAGCAAGTCCTGATGATCCGCATCAGTTTCCTCCAGGAACGTAATAAACTGACGGTGCTGAAGTCCCCTTGCTCGTATAAAGTTCACACGTTTTACGACTGGATTCACGACATGATTAAGCTGCAATACAGACTTACACAGGGATTCCTGATGGATGATGCAGTGAAGGAAAATAAGATCCTGGACAAGGTTTTCCTCTTTCACTTTATCCTGGATTCTTTTCAGCAGCCCAACATTTTTTCTAGTTAAATTTGGGAGATCCATCCATTGTGACATTGACAAGTTTACTCAAAGGTAGCGTCATTCTTTCGATGACAGCAGATACCTGGTTATACAAGTCCTCTCCCCGCGTTGTTCCTTTCGGGACTCCATGGTCAAAAACTCCTCTGTTATCGCAAAACTGTCGTCAATGCCTCGGATAAAATGAGGAGATGAGCAGTGTCTTTTACGTCCGTACTTTCTTCCAGTGCTAGTGAATATAATTCAAAGGAATCAGACTTTATGTTTAATTGACTGGCTATATTTTTATCAATCAGTTCCACACGGCGGTCACAGTCCTGCGTGATAAACTGACTTTTTCAAATTTGCTTTTGATCTCCGGACACAAGATGTCTGCTGTCTGTACCATGTATTCTTTTACAAACTTGCTTTCGGAGAAAGTGGTAATGAGTGGTAATGTTGGTGAGAATAAGTTTTTAAAGAAAATTGAAATCGAAGTGAAGAAGGAAATTATTGAAAAGTTTGTATAATTAATGATTTTTCAAACTTTAATTATGTTTTCTGTGCTTAAAATTTTTTAAACTGTGGGGTCTAGAACGGACTCGTGAAATTCGGAGAGAACTCGGAGTTAATTTTGTTGGTTTTGTTCAATACACAAAGCGTAACAGAGTTATGTATATAACTTTT